CCCCCCCCTAACCCCCCCCCCCCCCCCCAAACCCCACCTTGGCTTCGAGACTGAACCGGCCCCCGCCCCTCAGATGCATACCCATTCCAGGCTCAGTCTGGGAATCAGACACACCCACGCCCCGTTCTCCAGCCTCACCTCCAGCGCCGCTCACCCCGACTCACCTCCCTTCTAGACACGCGCGCAATCCTCCTTCCCCAGACACTCCACTCCAAGGATACACCCCCACCCCGCACTCTCGCCCCACACAACACACACACACACACTTAGTCCCTCCTCCCTCCCTCACTTGCTGCGCGCTCCCTGGCCCGCGGCGCCAGCTGTGACTCCAGGAGGGCGTTGGGGCAGCGCGATTAAGGTGTTCCCTGGCCGGCTCTCCACCCCTCCCCTACCCCCAGAACCCCACCTTCCCACCTAGGGGAAAGGTGAGCGGGAACCTGTCTTTTTTTCCTCTTCTTCCCTAATCGAAACCCCCCTCTCCAGCGGTGCCCGCGCCGCAAAGCCTCTCCTTGCGCTCGCGCCACGGGGCCGCCACGCACTTGCAGCTCCGCGGGGCCACAAAGGGCGATCCAGGAGCTGCGGCAGCACCCACGGGCGACTCCTCTCTGTCCGGCAGGACGAAAGCGTCGGGCTTACCTAAGATAGAAGGAGAAAGGCAAAGGGAGCCGGAGCTAGGCTGGCGACGAGGCGCCCCGCGGGCACGGAGGCTAGCTGCGAGGATGGGCGTGCGCTCCGCGGCAGAGCGGGCAGCGGGGCGAGGTTTGTTTATGCCCGCGAGGACCGCGACTTTATAGGCGCCGCGGCCCCGCCCCCGCGCCTCGCCCCGCCCCGACCCTCCCGGGCCCAGCTCGCAGCCCGGACACACCCCTCCCCCCCGGCGCTTCTCCCGCTCCCGCCGGCGCGCCCTGCCCAGCTGGGGCTGCGCGCGGCGGGAGCCCGCAGGAGCCGCCGCCTGTTGCGCAAGCCTTTGTAGGGGCGCGGCGGGGAGGGGCCTCCGGGCCCGAGCTGCTGTTCTGCTCTGTGTCCCCTCCCTCGCCGGGAAGGCCGGGGCCTCCGCGTGTGCAGCGTGCGTGTGCGCACGGGGGATGCGTTTGTGTGCCGGTGCGTGTGCGCGCTCACGTGTGTGCATGTGGACTTCCTCGTGTCTCTTGTATGACCGAGTGGCCCCCATCTCCGTCCCTGAGTTTCTTCTTCCGAGTCCCATCGCGCCACGCCCTGACATCCCTTAGGGGCGACTCCCCCACTTCCTCCAGGTCTCCTGTCTTAGCTCCCAAGCCCCATTTAGCGGCCCTCCCGCAGCTACCTCCGTCGCTTCCCCAAGACCAGCTCCCTGCATTCTCCCTCCGTGCCTCTTCCTTGTTGCATCAGCTCTCCGCTGAAAGCCTCGCTCCCATTTCGTCTCGTCCGTCCATCTTGCTCACATCCTAACGTCTTGGCGCGCCCCCTTCCCCTTCACCTCCCCAGTTCTAAACCTGCCCGCCTTTTCCCGCCGCGGGTCCTTCTCCCCTCCCACCTCCCCCGCCAAGCCTGGCTGGGAGCATTCTCACCCCTTCCTCTCCTGGTTCCCAGAACTGACACCGAGCACCGTTTCCAAACTCGGCTGTCTTCTGTGCTGTCTTGCTTTTGTTTAGTGACTGCCTTGGTGTTCTCAGTCCTCACTGCATGTTAGAATCCCTGACAGAAATTTTTTTCAAAAGGTGCGTGCTGGGGCTCCACGCCTGGCCAGCGTAATCAGAACCTCAGGGCCTGCAGACCAGGCCTTGGGTGTTTTAAACGCTCCCCAGGTGGTTCCAATGCGCAGCCTGGATGAGAACCGCTGCCCTGGAGGAACATGATTTTTAAAGACCCTGTCGGTATCCCCGGGTCCCCTGCCCAGCCTTGTCTTTACAGGTTCACGCGCCCCTCCCCCGCCTCTTCTGACCAATTATAAACCTCTTCCCTCCACCAGCCTGTGCTTTGCTCCAGGCAGGCGACCTGGCACAGCTCTGTGCATCCCATTGGCCTCCATAGGCCCTGACATTTACTTCTTCTGGCGTTCCACAAATATTTATTGAGCTGCTGCTATGAACCCCGTCCTGTGCTCAGCCACTGGGAAAAGGATTGAGAAGGCAAAGTCCTTCCCCTGGGAGCCTAGCCTGGGAGCTAAATCTCAGTGTCTCCATCTACACAAGATGGTTCCCGCTGAGCTCACTCATTGGGTAACCGGATGGAGCAGCTACTGTGTCCAGGCACCATGCTAGACACGGTCATGAGTGCCAAGTTTGCCTCCTTCGGAGCCACCGGTTGTCTGAAGACCCCCGCAAATCTAAGTCTGGGTGACAGCTTTCTTTTACCCACGCATATACTTCTCTCTTCCCTTACTTCCCCTTTTGTGGCTTTCAACAAACATCTATTGAGCGCCTATGGTTTGCTACCTGCCAGAGATACAGAGAGTCAAGTTCAAAAGTATGGAGGAGGCTGCCCTACTCCTTCAGTAACAAATGCAACAAGTTAGAGGACAGAGGAAGGAAGGTGCCAGAGGCACAGAGAGGAGAAAAGAAGAATTGAAACAGTAGAGAATTTGATGGGCAGTGGTGTTCTAAAACCAGAGGGAAAGGAGATCTCGCAGTCCCTATCAGCCTGGAAAGGTTCAGAGGCAGGTGCCCTGTGGATCCCACACTCCCTCTCGCCAGGTTTTCCTTCCGTGTTGTAATGGATTGTTGTTTCTTCCACCGAGCGCCAGATGAAGCGTTTTCTTGTAGCTGAGGTGGCCACGCGGTAGGAAAGACTGACTTTGGTGCATCTCTGGATGCACGCACGGGTAGAAGATGCTCATCTTCTGGAGCAGGCCCCGGGGAACTGAGAGCTGCCCATAGCTCCACAGCCCCCACCCAGGCCAGCTGAGGCGGCAGAAGCGCTTGGAGCCAAATGTGGGTGCAGTTGCATTCAACCGTTTCAATGACTTCTCTTTCTCGCTGGTCAGCAATAGAATTAGATTGCTTAGTAAGTGCACATGTGCTGCAAATCCATCACAGGATAAGGTTGCATTTTCTGGACTAATATCCCCTGGAAATTTCCATTTGGCAACACCTTAAATTTTATCATAAAATATTCCAACTAAAGAACCCTAGGAATCATCTCTTCCTAGCCCTCTTTCTTGGAATTCCTGGGTACTCAGGGTTGCGAGAGACCCAAGAGAAAGCTGGAGTTCAGAGGAAGAACACCTGATTTCAACACACGAGCTGTGTTACCTTGAGCAGTGACTTCCCTCTCTGTGCATCCATCTCCTCCATCCACATGCACGTGGAGGAAATGGGTGGGAGGAGCCATCAGACCTTTTGACCACAATTTATGAGCCCAGTGCTGCAGTCTCATGTTCTTTTTCCTCCTGTTAAGATGAGAGAGTGTCTCTGAAAGGCCAGCCTCTCCCAGCTCCAGCACTGGGCTCCCATCTCTCCCCTCTCTTCTGGGTCATTCTAATCAACAAGTACACGTTCACTGCAATTGGCGGCCCATCCTAAACAATCCTGTGTTATCTCAAGCCCCCCTCCAGTTCCTGTAGCCGCTTCCCTCACCCCTTCCTCCCCAACCTTCTCTAAACACGTGTCTATACCCATAGTCTCCACTTCCTCGTCCCCCTTTCATTTTACTTGTTAGACTGTAATTTATCAAGTTCCTCATGGACCTGGCCGAATAATTCCACAAAGCTTGTCAGGAAAAACAATAGCCTTCATCCCCGCCCACCTACTTGCCCCTCCTCAAAAGCCAACCACTTTCATCTCTTTGCGAATCATTTGCATCATCATCTCTGCCACTCATCAGCTCTCTATCCCTGGGCAAGCTCTGTAATTTCCTCCCTCAGCCTCTTCATCTCTAATCTACACATAATAACCGACTTGACTTCTAGGGTCTAGGTCTAGGGTGGTCGTGAGCAATACAGGAGTTCATACGTGTAAAGCGCCTAGAACAGTGTCTGCACATAGAACGCTCTTGATCAAATATTAGCCGCCGTCATCGCCAGCATCATCATCATCATCTCGTCCCATCTCTCCTAGCATCTTGCATTGTACCTGATTCATACAGAAATCCAGCAGCTGTCGGTTGAATAAGTGATCGAATGCCAGCTTTTCTCTCTGAACTCTCCTTACTTTCTGCAGCCTCCTGGGAGTTCTTTGGCAGAGAGAGGATCTTCCTACTTGCTTCAGGACCCCAGGTGAAAGGACCTCCACCCGTGAGCCATGTAAATTCTCCCGGTCCTCTGAGAGCATGCCCCACCTATAATATCCAGATGGGAGCAATGGGAAAAAGCTGCAAGAGGAAGACAATTCCGACTGAGGTTGATATTAGCCTATGTTCAGGGTGTGTAATGAATCCTTTACTTGGAACATAAATGAAGAGTTATACAACTTTTGGCCCCCAGAAAATCAGTTTCCCTTTGCCCCTGGTCTGTAACAGTTTGTGAGGGCTGCCGTAACAAATTAGCACAAACTGGGGGACTTAAACCAACAGAAATGTGTTGTCTCGTAGCTCCAGAGGCCAGAAGTCCAAGATCAAGGTCTGAGCAGAGCCGCGTTCCCTCTGAAGGCTCCCGGGAGGGTCCTTCCTCGCCTCTCCCAGCTCCTGGTGTCGGCTGGCAATCCTTGATGCTCCTTGGCTCACAGCTGCATCGCTCCCACCTCTGCCTCTGTCATCACACGGCCTTCTTCTCTTGTGTGTCTGTCCCTGAGTCTCTTCTCTTCTTACAAGGATACCAGTCATATTGGAGTAAGGGCCACCACCCGAGTACAGCATGACCTCATCTTAACCTGACTAATTACATCTGCAAAGACTCTATTTCCAAATAAGGTCACGTTGCAAGGTTCTGGGTGGAAATGAATTTAAGAACAACAGGATTCAACCCAGTACGTGGTTAATGTATATTTAGCAAGTATGTGTGGCATATCTGCAGAGAGACCCACTTATTGGCCTGCTCGGGGCCACCCTGATGATATTGCTCATGGATGATCCTGCAGCAGCTCTTGCCCGGCTGCCCAACAGCTGCCCCACCTTTGTCACCTGCCCTCTCCAGTGCCCTTCGCCTCAGGCTTGGCTGTCTTCTTGAACAAGCTAAATCATAGGGCCTGCCTAATTAGACCTGCTATGGCTCCCGTTGTCTGCGAAGTTCACCACTCCCTCTCGGGGTGGCAATGGAGATGCCCCTCCACGTGTCCAGACTTTTCCCTCCTTCCTCCAGGCCCTGGGTTACTCACCGCTTTCCCTTGAATGTACCCCTTGCGTCTTCACCTCTGAACCTTGGACCAGGCCGTTTTCTCCTTCTAGAAAGCTCTCCCCGACCCCCTTCACTTATGGAGATTTGACTCATCTGGGGAACACACTGGGGTCTTCGGCACCCATTCCAGTGCTCCTACTTCCCGCCCCCGCCCCCTGAAGTTAGGCATCTCAGCGTACCTTGCATTGTCCATGAATGGGGAGTGGAAGTGACCTGTGTCACTTCTGGATGGAACTTTAATAGCCAACCTGTGACTCACCTTGCTGTCCTTACATCCTGCCACAGCTACTAGCAACACTCCAGAGGCTGGAGGCTCCATCCCCTGGGGCCTAGAGGGAGGAGACACAGAGCGGAGCCCTCAGCTGACCCAGAATGGACATGTGACAGGGGAGAGAAGTAACTCTGTTGCCGTGTGCCACTGGGATTCTGAGGAGCTTTGTCGCTACAGCCCATCCTAATGGGTCACCATCCTCCAAGGCCACGACACGTCCTCTCTTCCAGTAAACCTCCCCTGTTCTTCTCCAACT